AAAATCCAAGTGGATTGGAGTCTACACCGCAGCCATGAAAGAATAAAAGAGTCTATTTCCTCAGTTACTGTTGGTCCAGTTTTTCTTTTGAGTCCAATGTGCAGCAGGTTTTAAAAGGTGCTCCGTTAGGGATTCTAACCAGTTATTTGATGACTTATAAAATTTCTTTCCTGCTTTCAAACACAAATGGGTAAATCTGTTCCACAGCAGTAGCAACAGCCTTTACGTTGGGCCCTGCAACAAACAGCAGAAAAAGAAATGAGAAAAGAGCATGAGGAAAATTCCAGAACCAAAAGTACTCAAGAAGTTTAGAAGAACTGGTTCAGAGGTTTTTTTAAACTGGTATTTATAAAAAATTCTCGTAAGAAGCAAGACAATAAAATGGCTCTTCTGGACTAAACAAAATCTAGAACAGAAAATTATGTTATTCACCTTGTTTTAGTAACTAGTCTGAAAACAGACTTTAGTAAAACCAGCAAAAGCCAGATCAGTGTAAGACAGAAACCTGTCAGAGAAGGAAAAGGCAAGTATTTTCCACTGCTGAGCAATAGAAAAGTGGTTAAAACGACAACAGGACAAAGATTTTTGTGAGACCTAAAAATAAGGCAGTCCCACTGAGTTCTCACTCTCACATGTTTCAACTCTACATAAGAAATTATACATAAATTATCCTGGGTGAAAATAATAAACTGCATGAAAGGAAAGAATAAACAAGATTGGCTAACTGCTATCCTTTTGGCCAGGCTAAGGTTGAAGAGCTCAGGGGTACTTAAGGAATCTCAGAGTTCAAATACAGCAGCTGCCACACTGCTGGGAAACCGGAATGAGCCTAAAAATCAACACAGATTAATTACGTTTTGTTTAATCCATATGCTTATACCTATTCTAGCTATGTCAACCTCACAGTTCATCTAAAGCGGCTGGGCGTAAGGGAGAAGCAGAAGTAATGCTACATAGGAGTTAATCCTGATAATACTATAAACAACTTTATTTTTAAAATGTAATTTTGCATTTAAGTAGCTAAAAAGAGACATATTTTAAAAAACAATGAAAAACGTATCCATAAAATTTGTTTTATATAGTTTCATTAGCACATAGCAGCTCTCAATGGAGATCTAAAAAACTTAACACATCTAGTTTGCCCTTTCCTGACTCACATCACCCCATGCACATAAACGCAACATAGCACTTTGTAAAAGGTGCTCAATATGTGTTCACTGAATTTTTAACATTTCAAAGTATATTACAAATATAAACAAGTATGTTATCAGTCCTTGGAGAAGGACATCATGCTTGGAAAGGGAGACGGACAGCACCAGAGAGGAAGACCCCGGATGAGATGGATTGACACAGTAACTGGGGTGATGGGGTTGTTGGTGTGTCAGAATAAATGAGCCTGGCTCACGACAGGGCAGGCTTCAGAGCTGCTGTACAAAGGGTTGCTATGGGTCGGGTCACAGGTGTCTTGACAGCACATAACAACAACATAATGCATAAGCTAGGTCAATTGTCAGTTTGTTATTGTTTTATTCTATTAACTGAGTAAAAGGTGATTTTACTTTTGCATCACATTTTACTCTGTTTTTGGAAGAGACCCAAAGGCAGACTTCAGTGTATTCTCCCATCCAGAAGTTGAGGCTCCAGAAACAGACAGTTGAAAGAAAGGAACAAATAGACTTGGCCCATTCATCATTCCATTTAAAAAATTCAGGTAGGACTAAAAGGTTTAAAATTTCCCAAAAGAAATGAGCTACAATTAAAGCTTATATTAAGAGTTTAAAGGCATCAATAACTTTTATAATACTGCACAGAATAAAAGAAGATAAAATTCAAGGTTACTGAAAAAAAATTTCCCTCACCTTAATTTTGACTAAGGGTTTCCCTGACATTGAAGCTATGCCTCTGGACAACTTAGTGCCAAAGTGTCTTAAAATAAATAATTGCCCTTGTATGCTGATACTACTCTTTGACATCTATGCCCTGTCTTCTGAAATTAACACTTAAAAGCTCAAAGGACACTATAAAATATCCACGTAAGAAACTACTTGAATATTTTGATGAAGTAAAACCTCTACGCAAAGTTCCTAATCTTTGGTAATTTAAATTCAAGAGAATAAAAATATGAAAAAATCATACTGTGAGGTATTTACTAGAAGATTCTGAACAGCTCTAAACTAGAAGCCACCAAATGTCCATGGCACACATTATCCACATGTTGGCTATCTTATAACTAAGAGCAGGAATGATCATTCCATGGAACAATAAAGATAAGTTTTACTATGACAATTATATGTAAAAGAAGAGAGAACACAAAATAGCATATGTAAGATTTTAGAAACCGTTTACAAGTATGTAAAACTAATTGATGTTGTGGTTATGTGCCCTCGAGTCCTTTGCAACTCATAGCAACCCTATGTACAAAAGCCGTAAACCCTGCTCTATCCTGTGCCAATTGCAAGTGTGAAAAATCAAGAGAATAGCGCCCCTTTAAAGGCAAAAGAAGTAACTGAAGAGAACAAGTTAGACAGTATTTCTATTTTAGTATGGGCATCTCTTATTGCATTCAATTTCTTATGGACAATTGTCGTTTCAACATCATAAAATACCTGTTACTGTGATACTGCCTGTTGAAAAAATCTGTAATGTAGCTCTCAGGGATTTTATTCGATAGCACACTGCTGGATGAAGTTCAGGTTCATAACTATACAAAAAGACAAGAACAAGCACCCATAATTAACATAATTATCGATAGTTAGAAAACGAACTTCAAATATATTCTTTTGAGTCTTCAAAGACCTACCTGGCATGAGGTCTATTGTTCTTTGTGAATTCTGGCAAACGGATTTCAAATGGCATGTTACACACTGCCAAAACGTTAACAACTTTAAAATCTGTAAATATTACCTTCAAGAGAGAAGTAAAACTCTATGAATTATTTTGAAATAGGAAAGTCTATTCATTAGGCAATCCTTCATAATTAAGTTTCAATTCTTAACAAAAGATAAAACAAAAGCTTCTTAAATACTGTAAGTTATTAGTTACTCCTTACTGTTAGGAGTGAACACAAGGAAAAAAATAGCTGGAAACATTAATTAGAACAAACATAAAATCTAAGATAGCTGCATGATTAAAACAGCACAGCTGGACTCTTAATTGTTTAGTATTTTAAATGGGATATTTATAACAACTGGGACATGGAGGATGCTCGAGGGGAAAAAACAAAGCACAGTCTTCTTCAAGTAAATAAAAAGAACACATGTCACCTTAAAATGTCAATAAATATTAAGTGTACGTTGAGCTCCAGAGGTCCAAAGTTGTTCTTACACACAATAAGGTAAAATGACCTTTGTGTATGATTGGAGAGAGTATGGGGTAGAGTAACTATTGTGTTCCTAATTAACTGAGATTTCTCTCAACATTTTAAATACTATGCTAAAATAAGCTCCAAGGCTGAAAATGATCTTGAAATATTGTCAGCTGCTCCTAGTGGTATTTTATTTTTTGCAATCTCCTCCTGTGAGATTAACTGTCTCTGAAAACCCACTGGAGGGTCTGCTACGGGTTGGTTCCAACTCAATGGTATTCAACAGCAGCAGCACTATTTTAAATTGTCTCATCTCATTGTTTTTTTCAAGCATTCCTAGTAAGACAACAATTGTGGATCAGCTAACTGAGCTCCAACTGAGTCGAAAAGTAAACTGTACACAGCGGCTTCACCATTAACCCTCAGTTACAGCTCACTGGAGCTCGCTCTCCACTGCTGCTTTCCTCATGCACCTACACCCTCTGCTCCCTAAGAGCATTTCCAATTCTTCAGGAGCCACAGCTCATCTTTAATTTACTCATCACATAAAAGTGACTAAGGAGGCTCAGAATATATATTGTTATTGGGTACCATCACGTTGGAACCAAGACGTAGCTGACCCCCCACCCCCAAGCTGGTTGTAAGAGGCAGTAAATCTCATGGCAAGAAAATATCCATCTTTCTCCTGTGGAGTAGCTGGATTTGAACCATGTACCTTATTGATTTTATTCAAACGGGAGGGGGGGGGATGGTGAGGGGGGGCAGACCAAAAACTTTAAAGCCAAATCCAATGCCATCATTTCTCAGTCCCAGTGACTCAACAGGACACAGCAGAGCTCTCCACAGGGATTTCAAGGTGTAAATCTTTACAGAAATATACTATCTCATCCCTCTCCCACTGAAGAGCTGATGGGTTTAAACTGTTCACCTGAATTCTTTTCCCACTTCGTACCCCAGGCTCCTAGCTCATTTGTAAACTTATATAAATTCATACTTGGTAAGGCTAACAAACCAGCAAATGGTATACTTCATAACTATATACCATCTTATACTTTATAGGTATGAGAGTCTGCCAGTGTAAACCCAGCAATAGGTTCTACAGCTTTCTACCTGCTATCCTAATAGATAACTTTCTTGAGATGATAAAATACAGATTGATGATAAGCAAAAATCACCTAAGAACAGAAATGGAAGTGAGCTTGTCAAGAAACAAGGCTCTCTGAGGAAGAGATTCAAGAAAAAGTCAAGACTCATTAAATTCACCCACATGGGCAAATCCGGGGACTCAAAAAGCACCACTCACAATGAAGAGTAGGATAATAACATCTCACATTTTTATAAAAATAGATGTTTCAGTATTTGTAATTCAGATATTTCTTGAAAACGTTACCTGAAAACCTAGCTTCTGCAGACTGCGAGCTAAACGTCTGGCACCAAATTTAGCTTCTTCTTCACTATATTAATTTTAAGGGATAGAAAAAAAGATATATCAGTTACACAAAAAAATAAATTTCATACTGACAAACATGATAATAACAAGATTGTGTTTCTAAGTCTGTTTAAGTCTAGTGGGAAAAAAAATCCTTTTCATAAGGAGAAAATAAAAAACCCAAGTGACATTTACCTTGTTGCTCCAGTGCAAATAATTTTTCCTGAGGACCAAATTGTAGCTGTAATTCTAGGTTTTCGAAGTTTCATTAATACTTTCTGCAAGATATGGAAAACCGTATTATATAATAAGCATTAATTTTTAAGTGATTCCATACTCTATATGTTGTTGTTGTGCCAGGTTTTCAGAGGCAGTTAATCACACAAAAGGAGATTGCCCATCCTTCTCCTGCAGAGCAGCTGGTGGATTAGAACCACATGGCTTCAGGACTGCAGTGCAGCTTACCACTATACCACTGTTGTTATGTGCCGTCGAGTCGCTTGCGACTCATAATGACCCTATGTACAACAGCCCTAAACTCTGCTTTGTCCTGTGCCAATCGCACTGTCTCCGACACTCCCATCCTGATTAACCCAGTCACAGAATCAATCCACTTCATAGAGGGTCTTTCCTTCCTGCGCTGTCCCTCCACCCTACCAAGCATGATGTCCTTCTCCAAGCACCAGTCCCTCCTTACAACATGTCCAAAGTATGTTAGACGGAGCCTCAGAATCCTTGCCTCCCAGGAGCCACCTGGTTTAACCCTTTCCAGGACAAATCTGTTTGTTTTCCTAGTAGTATGGTACTCTCAGAACTCTTCTCCAGCACCACAGCTCAAAGGCATCAATTCTCCTTCTATCCTCCTTGGTGATTGTCCAACTCTCTGATGCATAACAAATGACTGCAAAGATCATGACCTGTATCATACGCACCTTAGTCTCCAGAGAGACATCATTGCTCTTCAGTACTTTGGAGAGGTCCCTAACAGCCGACTTTCCCATGGTAATACACCTTTTAATTTCTTGGCTACTGGTGCCAAGAGTGTTGACTGTGGAGCCAAGCAAACTAAAGCTGTGAACAATCTCAATCTCTTCACCATCCATCCGGATGCTGCCAATTGGTCCAGTGCTGAGAATCTTTGTCTTCTTGACATTGAGCCTCAATCCATATTGGAGGCTGCAGTCCTTGACCCTCTGCAGCAAGCGCTTCAGGTCCTCCTCAGTTTCAGCAAGCAGGGTTGCATCACCTGCATAATGCAGAGTGTTGATAGATCTTCCACCAATTCTGATGTCACAATTCTCCTCATAGAGCCCAGCCTCCCGGATAATCTGTTCTGCATACAGGCTGAAAAGGTATGGAGATAGGACACATCCCTGGTGTACACCCTTCCCAATTTTGAACCATGCAGTGTTCCCTTGCTCTGTTCCGACGACTGCCTCCCGGTCCAAGTATAGGTTTCGCATTAGCACGATCAAGTGTTCTGGGATTCCCATTCTTCTCAGAGTCAGCCATAGTTTGTTATGATCCACACAGTCAAATGCCTTTGCATAAGCAATGAAACACAGATAGACATTCCTCTGGTATTTCCTGCTTTCAGCTAAGATCCATCTAACATCAGCTACAATATCCCTAGTACCACGACCCTTTCTAAACCCAGCCTAGACTTCTGGCAGTTCTCTGCTGATGTGCTGTTCCAATCATTTTTGAATAATCTTCAGTAGAATCTTGCTTGCATGTGAAATCAATGAGATTGTTCTACACTTTCCACACACTTTTGGGTCACCCTTCTTTGTAATGGGAACAAATATAGATCTCTTCCAGTCAGCTGGCCAAGTGGTTGTTCTCCAGATTTCTTAGCAAAACTTGGTGAGCACATCCAGGGTAGCATCTGTTAGCTGGAATATGTCAATTGGTATACCATCTACTCCTGGGGCCTTATTTTTTGCCATTTCCTTCAAAGCAGCCTGAACTACTTCTTTCATCACCATAACTCCCTATAATCCATATAGCCATTTATTTATTTTTTAAAATTTTTTAAACTGATATTTTAATGAAAAGTCACAGATAAGTTGGATTTCCATTCATTCTTTGTTGCACACTTTCCTCCCTACTCCCCCTCCAGTTGGCTTTTTTCTTTAGAAAGATTCTTTCATTGTTGCACAACTTCCTCCCTCCCTATGCCCTCCCCCATACTTTGCTCTGCACCTCTTATTCTGTCTGGGCTGTTGTCATGCAAATAATAGCTAATCATATTTTTCTTTTAGGCAGTTCTTTCTCTCATCTATTTCAATGCAGGGTTCATTATTTATCTTCTTTTCTTAGTTTCCCCCCAACGCCCATATCAGTACTGTTTTGTAACAATGGCATTTATTATTTGTCCTTTAGTGACTGAAATATGACACTCGGTATAATGTCCTCCAGGGTCACTCATTTTGTTTATTTCATGAGTTCCTTGTTTTTCAGTGCTGCATAGTAGTCCATGTGTGAATAAACCAGTTTCTCTATCCATTTGTTTGTTGATGGGCACTTGGGTTGCTTCCATCTCTTTGTTCTTATGAACAATGCAGCAATAAACATGGATGTGTATGTATCTGTTTGTGTTTGGGTGGCAGTTCTGGTAGCTATTTATTTAAATGTCAAAATACTTGCCTGATATTCAAATCACCTGTTCTAAATCAGTCATCTGTTCAAATCACCAATATTTAATCAGAAGATCATATTAACTCAAAAGGGCATTTAGTCAATTAAAAACACAAGGACTCAGAATGGGGCTGAAGTGATTCACCAATCATATCTACGTAAAACCTCTAATTGTTTTTTTTAAAAAGTCTGTATAAACTATTTTAATTGTTTATAAGTATGCATAAGCCAGGCAATGAATAAAATCAGGAATATTAAAGAATTGATGTTCCTGAGTAAATTATGGTGTTGGTGAAGAATAATAAATATACTAGGGACTGCCAGAAGAATGAACCAGTCTGTCTTGGAAGAAGTACATTCTTAGTAGTAAGGATGTCAACACATGGTTTCATTCACTTTGGAAATGTTAACCGAGACCAATCTCTGGAGCACATATGTTTGGTAAATAGAAGTTCAGGGGGGAAAAGAGGAAGATCCTCAAAGAGATAGAATGAAAATGACTGCATCAGTGGGCTCAACACAGCAAAGACTGTGAGGATGGCACAGAACTGTGCAGTTTTGCTCGGGTGTACACAGGCTCACTAGGAGTTGGCACTGACTGGACAGCATTAACAATGAACAGGCAAATCTCTCACCATATACTTGAAGTCAACGCAAACTAACATTTCAACTCTTATTCCACTGCAGTCAAATGGCCAGAATTTACCTGTGTCTTCAAGCATGACAAACTTTTTTACAACTCAACTTTCTAGTTGCTGTTACCTCCACCTAGAATATACTTTCTTCAATATTCTCGTTTCAGGTCTCACACTAAATGTTACCTCCACAGAAGGTCTTCCTTGACTATCCCATCCAAAACACCCTTCATCGCTCTTTTGACTCCTTATAGCTCTGCTTCGTGGTACTCAACTCCATTTTAAAGTGTATATTACAGTTGAGCTTACTTAAATTTTAGATGCACTCTCTCAAGCCTGAGAGAAGTACTAAAGGAGGAGATATAATCTGATGGTCCTTATCTGCGAAAAGCATTCATGAGTGCTTGTAGGTCTGAATTAAAATACCTACAAAGTGAATATAAAAAGGTTAAGAACTGAGCCTTGAGGTACTATTTTTTACAAGTTTATCATATATGAGAAATAAATGGAATAAATGGAATTCATATGCCTCAAGAGAATCACTTTAAAACTTCTCTTACATTTTGAGTTCTTCCATCTTTGGCATATAGCCTATTATCTGACCAATGTTATTTAGAAAGCTACAAAACCTGGAGAAATGAAAAATTGACCAAATATCAAAATGAAGTTTGAAGACATCATGTCATACAAAAATGACTGAGAAACACCAGCTTGTCCATCAATCCAAAATTGTTCATTTAATTGTCCTTGAATAAAGAACAAAACAAGAAGCACTTGTCTTCCATAAAGGCAGACTAAAGAAAGTATTTTTTCAGTTTACACTTTTTAACCAGATGTCTGTATTCCTTTGCTAATGTGAAGCTAATTGTTGATAAACTTCAAAAATTTTTTAATTGATGTTCACTGAAAAGCTTAATTAAATAGAGACAATGTTATTTAACTAAGTATATTAGGAATAATTTTTTAGTTTAAATTAAGCCATCACATATATTCTTATTTAACTTTTGTTATGTGGAAAATATGTTACTATTCTTCATTATGTGAAAACCAAATAAACAATTATCATTTGTAATGTCAGTCTCAAAACACCAGTAAACATAAAGAAACAGTTTTTATTCTTATGAGTTTTTAAAAACGGAAAATGTTCAGGTATGAAAGGACCATTTATTTTTAGCAATTTGCTAATGAAGAAGAGATTAAAAAGCAAGTACACTAAAAATTGTAATATACATTGGGGCATTATTCTATAATTATACTTCAATATACAGCGATGGTTCTTTCTCAAGTTAAAAGAAATTGTGAAAACAATAAAATGTCTACGTAACTTTAAACCTCCAAACAATATTAGCAGCCAAGAGAGGCAGGGACTCTTCTTTAAGGCACACTGCCATCTCTGGTAATACTCTACAGAGTAAGGTAATCAGAAGCCATCAGTAGAATCAACACATACTAGAAGCATTCGTAGCATTCTGAGATTAGACTACATAGTAAATATATCAGCATTTAGATACTTACTCCAACATCACGCTTATAAATTACATTTGCTCCCTCCAAAGCAATCTTCCTTAAGTTCAAATGGCATCTTGTTCTAAAAACACAGACTACATTTGTAATTAAAATGTCCAGTGCAACATCACTGTCTGCATCCATTGGTGTAGTTTAAAAACTTAGCTTTCCACCACGAAGATCACATCCTAAGAAATAAAACAAAATAACGTCATTAAATTCAGATATTCTGATAATTTATTCCTCACAAATAATGTTGAAAATTAAAATGCAAACAATCAACTTAAAGGATTTTTATCATTAGCTCTCAAGTTAAATCATGCCCTCTTCTCACCAAGAATGTAATTTTTTAAAAAGACAGCATTTTATATAATATCAAACTATAAGACTAAAACAATGAAGGTGCCAAGAGTTCAAACACAGAAAATTCACTTGTGTTTTTCCAGCTCCTTGTTTCTGACAGAACATAAAGACAAGTCAGACCAAGACTTCTAACACCTTCACAGGACCATTCAACACCCAGTTATGTTAATTGTGCCTCAAGGTCATTAGATTTTCTCACTGTGGTATGTCTAATTTCTGTTTGTGTGTTTTTTTGTTGTTGTTTTTTTATGGCATCAGATGAACAGATGCCAGAGATAGATTCATAAGCAGAGGTAGGCAAAGAAACAGTTACTAAGATTGATTTTAAGTGGTAGGCTCCATGTCATACTCACTACCCTCTATTTATAAGAATTTGAACAAGTAATATAGCTGTGTATCAGTTTTCTCCTCTATCATGTGGAAATAGATGGTGCCTGCCAAAGAGTGTCCATATGAAGATTATCTGATGTAATATATGAAAAGTTCACATCATACACATCTGGGAAATAAAAGCCTAATAAATGACAGTGATTATCAGGAAAATAAGCTCAAATTAACAGCAGAGCACAGATTTCATGCTTGCTATGATTATACCCCAGACACTAAGCTGGAGCTTCAGGCTTATGGCTGGTACAACATCAAGATAAAAGCAGCCCAGGCCCCCGAGATCATGAAGTTTGTTATGAGACCTGTACTTAAGTTGAGATTTCATAAATGTAAAAGAAAAAACCAAAACAGTTCTATCTTGTTTCAATAATTCTTTCAATACATAAATATTTTCTGCTTTAAATTTTTACTGAAAATTTTTTCAGTAATGGAGAACATTCTGAATACAATGAAAAAATTTTTTAACATAACATATATTTTGATATCACACATATGTCCTGAAGGTTCCCTGAGATTTGAGTTGGTCTTAAGAGGGCCGGGGCATTTCTTTAGATTCACGATGGATAGGTCAGAAACTGAAATTGTCAATAACAACTTCTTACTTCGATCCACAATTAACATAATTTTTGTACCATTTCTCAGGAAATAAGGAGATGCATCACACTGGGAAAAGTCTGCAGTTAGGGGCCTTTCCAAATTATTGAGGGGTAATGTCAGTTTGAAGACTAAGGTGCATCTGATTCAGGCCATGACCTTTTCGATAACTCATCTTTTCAATGAGAACTGGAAAATGAATAAGGATTAACAGAAGAAGAATTGACGTCTTTGAGCTGTGGTGCTGGAGAAGCGCAATGGACGTCCAAAAGAACAAGCAAGTATGTTTGGGAGATGGTGCAGCTGGATGCAAGAATGATGAGGCTTCACATCACATACTTCAGGATATTCCTTGGAGGAAAAAGATGCTGGGAAGAGTGGACAGTATGAAGGAGGGGAAGACACTCAATCAGGTGGATTGACACGGTGACTGCCAGAATGGGCTCTAGTGTGTCAGAAGTGTGAAAGTGGCATAGGATAGGGTTCAGATCTGTTGTCACAGGGTCACTGTGAGTCGTACTCAACTCGACAACACCTAACAGGAACAACACATACTGCCCCCTCCTTCCCCACCACATGCCAGATGGTAGCATGGGCTAAAAGAAATCAGCTTCTCTAAATCCCAGAGGCAGAAAATATAGGTGGACATTCACTATACATCCCGTAAGTCACAGAAAGGGTTAGCCTCTTTATGCTCTATTTCTGTTATAAGAAGCCAAACTCAATTTCAAATTCAACTGATACAAATCTCAAGAGCAAAACTATGAAAAGCAATCACTTATGGAGAAATTGTATAAAGAAATTGCCTAACATACAGTTCCATAACACACGTTTTCCACTGAAAGGCTAAAAAAAAAAAAAAAATCAATTCAGATTTGCTACTTTGTCTTCTTAAACTAAGAAATCGCCTGAGGTGAAAATAAGGACAATATTACTTAGTGTAAAACAAGACAAGAAAGAAGTGGTAAAGCAAATCTTTCTTAACGCAAACAAAGCAGGGCATGGATTAAAAACTAACAATTTTTTCTATGCCTCATCACCTTATATTTTAAAAAATGAAGTAATGGAAAAGCTCTGCTCATCCAAACTTACTAAGGGTTCATATTTTAGATTAGTAACCTGGTAAGCAGTCTGAAAACATTGTCATTTGTGAATAATGACAGAAGAAAAGCAGATGCCTTTGAGCTGTGGTGTTGCGAGTGCTGACAAAAGAACAAGCAGAATGCTGGAGAAGGTGCAGCCAGAGCACTTTGTGGAGACAAGGATGACAATATGCATATATCCTCTCACATACTTCAGGCACGTTGCTAGGAGTGGCTATTCTTTGAAAAGAGACAACCTATGTTTGGGACAGAGGAAGGTCAGTGAGAGAAAAACTCAGCAAGGTGGACTGAAACAGTGACTGCAGCACTGCACTCAAGTGTGTCAGAGATTGTAAATATGGTACAGGATAGGAAAGGGTTCAGATCTGTTTTTCAAAGGGTCGCTGTGGGTTGTACTCAACAGCACCTATAAACAACAATCTTTAAACAAGTTTCTAAATCAAGGCTACAGTACTGAAAAGATAGTTGTAATGTGCCGTTGGAGTTGCCTGCGACTCACAGCGATCCTATGAACAACAGATATAAACCCTGCTCTATCCTGTGCCAATCTTACTGTCTCTGACACACGTACCCCCATTACCCTAGTCACTGAATCAATCCATCTCGTCGAAAGTCTTCCTCTCTTGTGCTGTCCCCCTACAAGGACTGATTCCGCCTGACACCATGTCCAAAATATGTCAGGAGCAGCCTGATTTCACCCTCTCTAGGATGAACCTGTTTGTTCTAGCAGTCCATGATATAGTCAAAACTCTTCTCGAACACCACAGCTCAAAGGCATCAATTCTATCCTCCTTAGTCATTGTCCAGCTTTCTGATGCATAACAAGTAATTACAAAGACCATGGCCTGTATCAAGACAGTACTTATTTAAAAAATGGGCAGTCCATGTGTATGAAGCATAAAGGAGATTAATTTGCAAATCCATTTAACTAGCCTGTGAAGCAAGACTGATTGTAGCACTGGACATTAAGAGTCACTTCTTAAAGCTAAAGCATGCAACTAGAAAGACAATCTAAGGAGAGAGACAAATTGATTTCTACAACATGATAATATCTCCTTAAATGTTATAAACTAAAACTCAAATTCAATGCCAGAGTTAGAACTGACTTATAGCTGACCTTCCAGGAGGTTTTCGAGAAGCTACAGGAGGAGACTGCCAGTCTTTTACCCAGTTGTTGCTGGTGGAGTCAAACTTCGAAAGCATTGCCTCTGAGTCAGCAACTTCCTAGAGACTATGCCACCAGAGCTCCCTTCTACCTTTAAGAGTGGCTAAGAACACTGCCTACCTCATGGACTGCCAGCAAAGAATGAACAGGTATGTCTTGGAAAGGGTGTGGCTACAGAGCTCCTTCGAGGCAAGGATGGCAAAGCTTCATTTATCATACTTTGGACCTGATGCTAGGAGAGACTATTTCTTGGAAAAGGATATCATGCTTGTAAGGGCGGAAGGTTGGTGAAGAGAAAAAGACATTCACCGAAATAGACACAGGTAATTACAGCAATGGGCTCAAGTGTATGAGAGATGGTGAGGATGGCTCAGGATAGGAAGGAATTCAGGTCTGCTGTTCACAGGGTCACTATAGATCACACTTGCTCAACAGCACCTAACAACAACAATAATTTTATCACTGAGTAAGACAAGCCTGAGTAACTTTATTCTCAGGGTTAAGGCAGGACTGATAAGTCCCAATAGTGATCAAAATATTTAGGTTATCACTGGAAAAAAAAATACACCTCCCCCTTTGTTTAGGGGCATAAAAGAAAAATGGTAGGTGATGTATATTACGGGGAATATCACACATATGGGCTAAAAAAGAAACAGTGGGAACTACTTTTTAATAGAGATGAAATATAGTATTTACCACCATTATGGTATTTACAGTAAAATATTAGGCTATCTATATCCCTTACACTAAATTCTGAGTTTCGTGAGGTCAAAACTACCTGCAAAGTTTACATATTCCCAAGGCCTAAATCTGGCAAACTGTTAGTGTTGGCAGGTCAACACTGATTCACACAAATTCTATGCACAACACAGCAAAATCTTGTCTGACCCTATGTCATCTTCAAAATCTTCACTATTGTTTTGTTGACCCTCTACTTTGACAAGCGTCGTTTCCTTTTTCAAGGACTAACCATTCTCAAAAAATGCCCAAAGTATGTAACACAAAGTCCAAACATTGGCGCCTCCAGAGAGTACAATCTGAAATCAGATTTTTTTTTTTTTGCGACCTTCTCCAGTACATTTTAGAAAGACTGACGTTGTCAATGACTTCCTTTTATTTGGATCCACAACCAGCACTCATAGTAAAAGACGTCAGGAAACCAGAAGACGTGTTGCACTGGGCAAATCTGCTATCAAGGACCTCTCCAAAGTGCTTAGGAGCAAGGAAGTCAGGAGATCTCAAGCATGGTGCAGGACAGCGCAAGCCTTCCAATCTGTCCTTCACAGGGTCAACATACTAAACTTTGCTTCTTTTCAGTAGTAATTTCTTTCTAAATTACTATACTTACTTCTTGTTGTTATATACCATTGAGTCACAAGTGACCCATGGTTGACCCTCTAGCAGGTTTTTAGAGGTAGTTATTTGCATGAGAAGAGACTGCCCACCCTTCTGCAGAACAGCTGGTGGCCTCAACTGTGTGCCTTTGGGATTGCAGTGCATCTTCTTGCCACTAGGCCACCAGAGCCACTGTTGTTGTTATTTGCTATTTGCCATCACGTTGCCCGTGACTCCTAGT